AGCACCTGATGTGACATTTGGATATATATACCATGTGTAATGATGGGGTTAGGTTTTATCACTCCTTTGTGTTGGGACGTTTAGCATTCTGTCTGCTGGCCATTCTGAAACATTTGATTAATTGCTGCCAGCCTAGTGACGGGACCTTTCATAGCAGGTAGTACTTGTGCCCTCTGATGAGAGCAAGTCTAGAGCCACGTTGGCCGGTGCTGGGGAGCCTTGGACCTGGTCCTGGGTGGGAGTGCTTCTGCGGCTGAGCCTGACAGTTTGCAGGAGGGGGTGTGGACAGGCTGCCCTCCAGGTGCAGTGTGGTCCTGGACACAAGGCGACCCTCACAGGCGGTGGTGCTGGAAATGTGGCCACAGCCCATTTGGTGGTGCTGTGTGCCTCTTGGTCCGTCTGCCCCAGGGGCCCTTTGTTAATCTGGCTGAAGGTAATGTGTGGCCCTTCCTAGGCGACCACCCCTGGCTGGTGGCAGCATTGTCCTCTTAGGCCCAGCACTGTGGGCCACTGGATAAATCTCGTTCTGGCTGGCGGGCAGCTCAGGGGTAGAGTGCCTGTTCCGCTGTGCAGGGCCCTGGATCTGAACCTCAGCACAGGCCAGTGACTCTGTCCTGGTTAACAGCCATCTCCCCTTCTGTCCCCTTCCCATCTCAAACCCCCTTCTGTCTCTGGAAGGAAGGCAAGCAGCTGGTGGCAATCCTGCTGCCGGGAGCTCTCCTGGGTTGGGGCGTGAACCTCACTCTTCACACCCTTGCTTTACCTTCTCAGAGCCACGCTCCAGGGGTCTCAGCTACCCTGGCTGGGAGCCTGGGGCCTTCCTCCCCAGCTGACTGAGGTCACCTGTGGTTGTTCCCTCCTGGCCTCTTGCCTGGCTCAGCTCCATATTTTGAAGCCCCGCAGAGCCCCTTCTGTTGCCCAGGCACTGGCCAGTGTGGACGAGATTGGGCAGCTGCACTTCGAGTGGTCAATGGCCAGATTCCTGCCCAGGGGACATGCCTATGCTTTGCTTCTTGTTGAAAACCCTAAAGCAAAGGTGCAGCAGCTCCTAACACGCTCTGCCAGAGGCGGCCATGCTGTCTGTGAGGGCCTCGCCCTGTCTGGCTGCCTTCTGCCTGGCCACCACCTGACTGCAAGACCAACGGGGAGACCTCTGCTGTCCTTCCCACTGCTCCTCCTCCAACAGGGCACCTGGGCGTTCTCGGGTGTGCTGTGATGCTTCTGGAAACAGGGGTGAGGAGACTTGTCCTCTGTGCACACCTGGGGCTGGAGAGGGGTCCGAGGGGTGAGTGGGGAGAGACCCAGGTGAACCAGAACCAAGACCCGGTTTACCTGAGCAGCAGCTTGACCTCCCAGCAGGTTCCAGATGCATGTGTGTGGAAACTTCTCTCTAGGACTTGAGCTTGTGCATTTCATTCTGAGATCCTAGCAAGTACTCAGAGTCCCTGGGAGTCCAGAGAATGGACTCTAGCCTCCCCACACTGGGAGGCCCATTAACTTAAGATAATCATCCTATGAGTTGTGAAGATCGAACTGAGAAAGGTGCCAGGCAAAGAGAGGGGGCTGGCACTATGGCATTGAGCCAGATCCTGTCTCAAAATACAAAATAAAAAGGGCAGGGATGTGGCCAGTGGTTAAGCACCCCTGGGTTCAATCCCTGCAACCACCCATCCCCCCAAAAAAGAAGGCAGCAAAGGAGAAGAAGAAATAACCCTAAGGAGGCAAAAACATTGTCAAACCAGGACACATTTCTTTTCCTTTAGAATATTTATATCAACAGGATGATAGGAGGGTATACTTGGAAACATTTTTATCACAAATCATTTTGTGCACATGTACCACCAGCTGGCCAGACTGGCAATAAGAGCTGGGTTCAAAGGAGCTGGCTGTATCAATAACTATGTAACACGAAGAAGAAACCACAGAGCTCACAGCATAAGTTTCTAAGGCAGGACAGCTCGGTGACCCCAAGGGTCAGCTCCGTGCTGGAAGGAACAAGAGAGTGAGCACACCCCAAACCCCTGTTTTTATTTAGGGGAAGTCATTCGAGAAAGTTCCACCCAAATAAGGCAAGGGATGGGGTTTCGAAGGGTGGATTCTTGCTTGGTGATGTCTTGTGGTCAGCAGACTGACCGACATCTTGGAAAGCCACACTCATCTCATGTGCTGTGTGGGATCACAGGCAGAACGAGAGAAAGGGCACACATATGTCACACAGCCCAATCAGGCAGGACCGTCAAGCCAGTCCCCTCATATACTCACATGCGCATAGCTCACAGACACAGCCCTTGGCTGGCTCGCAACACACATGTATAAAGGAAGATGTAAATGTCATAAAATATTCTGGTAGAGTAGCACACGCCTGTAATCCCAGCAACTCGGGGGCTGGGGCAGGAGAATGGCAAGTTCGAGGCCTGTCTCAGCAACTTAGCAAGACCCTGTCTCAAAAATTAAAAAGGACTGAGGATCTAGCTCAGATGTAAAGCACCCCTGAGTTCAGTCCCCAGTATGAATTACTCAATCCCCAGTGTGAGCAGATGTTCCTAGCTAGGCCTGGTGGTGTGTGCCTGAAGTCCTGGCTGTGGAGGGGGTTGAGGCAGGAGGATTGCTGAGCTCAGCAGTTTGAGGTCTACCTGGATTCCATCTCAAAGAAAAAAAAAGTGTGTGTGTGTGTGTG